CAGATCATATTTGTGTGTTGTTTTTTTAAAATTCGGTTTCCCAACTACAGGATGGCATTTGTAACCTTTCCTAAAAATCAAGTGGGAAAAAAAAAAAAAGTTTTTGGGTTGTAATTGACTCCAAGCCTCGTGTAAGCAAGCGCAGAAGGCAGCTGCTTTCCAATGGCAGCTTTAGGCTCTGTAACAAAAGTGGGATGGTCAGAGAAAGGAAAAGTGTTCCATTGCTTTTTGTTGCTCTAAGCAATATGAAGTCTTGGTTCTAAGCCCCCACATTATCTGCAACTTTAACATCTAGAGACAATTCAGAGAGAAGAACCTAGAAAGAGAAGGTGACCCTGGAAGCCATGTCGGAAGAGGCTGGAGTAAAAATGTCTAGCCTTCCAGCACACTTGACGGCCACCTGAGCTCTCTTTGCATTTGTCTTCAAGAGTGGACACTTCTGGATTGTTCCAGAGAGCAAGGCTAGAACAAACAGCTAGAAGATAGAAAGAAGATATTAAAAACATTCTAACAATAACAAAATATTCCAACAATAGACTATGTCCCCTCCAAGGGCAACAAGCTCCCTGCCTAGGCGTTTAGAAGCTAAATGGCCAAGGACAGTGCAGAGTAGGTTTCTACACCGGATCCCATGATCTTTTGCAACCAGAATTCTATGCTACCCCAAATACTTGTTAAATGGATCTGACTGCATTTCATTCTGTGGTTTATAAATAAGTCGTGGAAAAGGAGAATGAATTATAGGGAGGGAGTTTGCTGAGATCGGGGAGAGGGATCCAAAAGACTCAGACTAGATTCCACCTTGAGGGAGAAAAAGCCACAGGATGACACACTCAAAGCAAGAGAAACTGACAGGAAGGTGAATTACTGCCCTTCACATGTCATCCTTGCCTTTTTTTTTTTTTTTTTTTTTTTTTGTCATTTGCTGCCACAGCAGCTGGGCTCTGGGCAACAGGGCTCTCTCCCCCGAATGTCTGAAAGGAGGTCAGCAAGTGGAGGACATAGGCACTCGCTGGCACAGGGCACTGGCAACCATCGTGCAGTGAGCCCCAGCACAGCCAGTGTGGCCATGTGCGTGGGACGTCCTGGCCTGAGGTTGAAGAAAGCTCGTCCTGTCATAGTTCCCATCCGGAAAGGGTGTTGTGTTGAAAGCAAAAAGGATCATAAAGTCACTTGCCTTTTACCCAATGCCAGTTCCAGATTCCAGGAAAATGAGCTGACATCAAAAACACCTCAGCCGGCCGGGCATGGTGGCTCACATCTGTAATCCCAGCACTTTGGGAGGCTGAGACAGGCAGATCACCTGAGGTCAGGAGTTCAAGACCAGCGTGGCCAGCATGGTGAAACCCCGTCTCTACTAAAAATACAAAAACGAGCCGGGTATGGTGGTGCATACCTGTAATCCCAGCTACTCAGGAGGCTGAGGCAGGAGAATCACTAGAACCAGGGAGGTGGAGGTTGCAGTAAGTCAAGCTTGCACCACCTCACTCCAGCCTGGGCGACAGAGCAAAACTCCATCCCCCCTGCAAAACAAACAAACAAACAAACCATCACCTCAGCCTGGCCAAGAGCAGGGCATACCCCCAGAGGTCTCAGACTGAGGAGAAACTGCGCCCCCACCCGGGCTTCCCTCCTCTGGGGCGCTGCCGAGGGGACTTGTCCTCAGCCTAGCTCAGGGAAAGGGAAGGGTTCCCATGTCACATTCTTTCCAGCTGTCCTAAGAACCACCCCAATTGCCAAGGACTCTCCCTCCTCTCTTGGGCTTCACCAGGGCTGCTTTCAACTCATCGTGGGATTGTGTAATTATGGTGATTACAGCTTGTGACTTTTTTCCTCTGTTCATCTTTTGCTTTCAAATTCTTTGAGGCCTCTCATTAAACATGGCGATCCTGGTAAAGTCAGCAAAGTTTTAATAAGACACTTTTTACAGCTAAAGAAAGCCCAGTCAGGGTTGATTGCTACTATGTTCTCTCAGATACTCCATTAAAACTCTATCAGGCGCAGTTGGTGCCTGGGTATAAGAGGTGGGGGAGAAGGAGGGCAGGGAGGCAGAGCAGACCTGTACTTAGTGACAGGGCTGGAGAACCATTCCACACCATGCCCCTGGCCTTTTTCGTTTGCACCAAGCACCAAGTGCATTTGAGCCCCATGCCTAATAGGAAAAGGCAGACTGTCAAGCAAGGACCGAAAGCCTGGCCTTAACATCATAGCACATTACACTGGGAAATGGAGATGGAGCATCCAAGACAACACTCAACCCAACCTTGTAATCTGTAGCAAAAGTAGTGGGGGAATTCTGATACATGCTCTGTCCTGGTTAATACTGGAAGGTTCTGAGGCATCCATAATGCTAAATAATTAACGGAGACAATCACTAGCCTTTGTGAGTCATGACGATCCGGTGATCTTACACCTGATGGAGGTTTCCTTGGTAATGATTCAGCTTCACATCTCATTCTTGGCTAGCCTTTAATCATGGCTTGCTTGCTTTCTTTTTGTTGTTGTTGTTTTGATTTGGTTTGGTTTTTGGTGGGGTTTTCTTTGTTTGTTTGTTTGTTTTTGAGACAGAGCCTCACTTTGTTGCCCAGGCTGAGTGCAGTGGCACAATCTCAGCTCACTGCAACCTCCACCTCCCAGGTTTAAGCGATTCTCCTGCCTCAGCTTCCTGAGTAGCTGGAATTACAGGCCTGCACCATCACATTCAGCTAATTTTTGTACTCTTAGTAGAGACGGAGTTTCACCATGTTGGCCAGGCTAGTCTCGAACTCCTGGCCTCAAGTGATCTGCCCACCTCAGCATTCCAAAGTGTGGAGTTACAGGTGTGAGCCACCGTGCCCAGCTTGTAGCTTTCTTGAATAGTTATCAGAGCTGTAGGACTTCATGAGAAGGACCATCAAGGAGTGTGGGTTGTGTGTGTGAGCCCCGTGACCCACCCTTCAGCAGGTTCATCCAGGTTCCCCTCATTTCTATATTCCCTGGGGACTGCACAGATGACCGCACAGTGAAGTGCATCTTGCTCCAGCAGGACTGTGTTTCTGAGAGGCCCCCGATTGGCTGCTCGTGGCTGACAGGCCCGCACCAGCCAGACTGCCTTTTACCCTGCAGGTAGCCAGTTACCTCACTACCTGTGTCTCAAAAGAGCAAGGAGCTGGACTGTGACTGAGCAGCATCAGCCACCTGAAGTTACATGTCAAAAACCTGGCAGGGGCATTTCCCCCAACTGCATTCCCATCCACTACTGAAGGTGACCTGCTTGTGTGACCCCTTGAGAACAATGTCCCTTTAGTACCCACCAAAATGCAGAGAAGCAAGCTAAGTTCAAGACAGGCAACTCCAGCTGAATCCCTTTTTCTCCACCTGACTTTATACGACCCTGTCATTATACATTATACGACATTATACGACGCAAGTCACTTGCGTGTCCGATGGGTACAACAAAGCCCACTGCACAGGGTAGATGTTGGCGTTCAGTGAGGATGTGATAGCAAGAGCTGCCATTTATTAGGAGCTCACACTCACAGTGTTGTACTGTGTCATGCTGGCTTTGCCTGGGGTGGACTTTGGTTCTACTTCAGCTCCATCACTTAGCTGTTTGAACTGCACAGCTTCTCTAAGCCTCAGTTTCCTCATCCATAAAACGGAGATAAGAGTAAATAATTAAGAGTAAAATGCATAACGTCCTTAGCACACTGTGTGCAGGGCGTGTGCTTAACAGGTATAGTTCTTAGAATTAGTTTCATCATTATGATATTATTTGCAGCTCATATTTAGTTCTGCACCTATTATTTAATTTCCAACAATATTCTGCAAGATAGACATCATTATATGTGTTTTGTGGTTGAGGGTGGGTACATGGGTATCTCCTATATGACAGTCTGTACAAAGTGCATTTATTACAGAGATCAGCTCATGGTAACTACTCAATAAATGGCAGCTATTATTGTTGGCTTATTTTTAAAGTCAACTCAGAGAGTTAGTTTTTCTGCAATTTCCTGGAAATGAAGGGACTGTGGTGCCCAGAAGGCCAGCTTCTGTTCTGTGGTTGGTTTCCTGGGGCCCCTAAGCACTTCCCCGGAAGCTGTGGGAGCTGGGGGGCTTGTGAGGTGCTGGGAAGTGGGGAGGGCCACTAGGCAAATGGTGCACGTGTTGTGGGGGTCTGGCATTTGGCCCCCTACTGAGGTGCAGGACCCAAAGATGCCTCCCACTACCAGACACCGATGAGGAATGGGTCTACCCATGATAAGAAGATGGAATCCACCCTCCAAATGGAGCCCTCCACGTGACAGAAACACTCACCTCTCAGCTGTCTGCTTGCCTGGAGCCACCCTGAGCAATGCAACCTCAACAAGTCCAGTTGCTCTGTCAGCCCGAGAAACAGAGGTTTCTATTTTTAATCACTTATTCCAAAGCTAGGTAGTGGAGGAGTCAGAAGCACGTGGCAGGGGATGCTTTGAAATTCCTTGATAAACCGGACCCCTGGGGTGGGCACTCCTACTGCCTATAGTACCAACAGAAACAGAAGTGGAGAAGTTATTTCCACTGAGGTCAATAAATGGTTTTTTCATGGGGGAGAACTCCGTTTTTATACATGTATTTTAAGGTGAATGCTTTAAGTTTGCAGTATTTGTCAGAGTGGCATCTTAGGAGCTGATATAAAACTCCACAGCCAAACAAGCGATTGCCTATGCACCTTGCATGAGATGCTCTGTAAGTGCCTGTGGTCTAAACATGCACATGAACGCATGCACAGGTGTATGCACATGTGCACAGGTGTAGACACAGGTGCATGTGCTGCCTGCCTGATGTTCGCCTCCGTGTTCAGTGTATGGTATGCATATAACCATAAGCTGCAAACCTGCAAGTGTGTCTGCCGCATGGATTGCATGCCCTCTGCAGCTGTGTGTGTGTCTGGGCAGGGGCTCCTCTAAAGCCACAGGTCTTCACAGTTTCAGCTGGATAAGTTATTCTTCACTTCCCTTCCTAAAAACACAATTGCCTAGTGCTGCTGGCGCAGAGTCAGAATGGCCGCTGCATTTCACCCCCGAGGTGGCTTCCTTCCAGCAGTGGGTGAGTGATCCCGGCGTTCGCACGCTCTCTAACCTGTGGGATCCTTCTGCACAGAAGGTGGTCCAAAATCCAAAAGAGATGATCTGTTTGTCCATGACTTCGTCTCTGCCCGCCACTCCTGTTCTCATGCCCCGGTTCCAGGGACAGTTGGCAGCACCCATTTCTTGGTGTCTCTGTTTTTTCTGCCCATTTTTTGTACCCATAGTTTTTCTCTCCTAAGAAACAAGGAGCTGAGGGGTCCAGAAATGATGATGAGATGAGTCCCCTGTCCCAGAGGCCATGTGCAGATAACATCCTTAGGTATTGACCCAGTAACTCTCTTCTCCTGGTCCCATTCCCTAGCAGAACAGGGAATACCCACTACCTTTGAAGATGCTTCTAAATCAAATAGCAGCTTCCTTAGGTTTCATTTCCTGGTGAAAGCTTCCATAACTCTTCCTCTATGGGCCCGGGGTCAAAGCCTGCAGGAAATATAGCAATCTCACATTTCTACACACTACACCATCAGGGGAGAAGAAAGCTGGGAAACCGCCCATCCCCTGTCCCATGGGGACCAAAAGCATCTCAGCAACACATGAAAAGAGCCTGTGGGGAAATAAGGTTCTCTGTAGCTAAGAATTCCAATGACCTAAGTTTCTGTCCAGGTATCTCCTGGAAACGCTGCTGAGTCTGTTCCCTGCTGTACTTTTTCGGGTTAGGAATGCATGTCTGATAAGTGCCTGCTGAATTGCATTCCTGATAGTGGAGAAGAAATGGAAATGAGTCGGCCCTCTTTGCACATGCATCCAAATGGACATGGACATTCGACGAAGTGTTTTGCTTTTGTGGGGGGATAAGAGGTCAGCAATTCTAGGCTCTGCCTTTTCAGCTGGCTAAACCAAGGACCCCAACACAAGTACATGTTTTGGGTGAACACATTTGCAAGAGATGATAAGTGTCCTTAGGAAGATAGAGTCAGAGTCCTCATAGATCCTCAGGAGAATCACATACTGCCAAGCAAATAACTTTCTCTTGCCGCTTCGTCCACACTATCAAGTAACTAAGCTCCAGCTTCACTGTCTCCCACAGTCATAGTCAAGAGTTATTTGAATTTCCTAGTTGGAAAAAAGTAGCATCAACTTGTTGCCAATAGCAACACAGCCATGTCCCTGTTTCCTAGAGCCTTTTGGTCTTTGCCTAATTTGGAGTGAAGCAGAGCTTAGATGCCAGAGTCCATTTGGGAAGGAGGAGGAGAAAAAGAACAGGCGGGCATTAAGTGGGTCACAGGAAGGCATGCCACTGAGAGGCCTTATAGGCAGAATGGCCCCCTCATTCCACTCCTGAAGCCACCAAGAATTTCCTGCAAGCTGAGAGTAGAAAGAGCAGCAGGTTGCTCAGTCAGATGAGAGGAGGGAGAGGAGGGAGAGAAGAGAGAGCTAGTATGAAAAGGGGGCATTTCCATCACACAGGGATGCAGACGAGCAGGAAAAATGGAAACGCACAACTTGGACACAAGACCGGGGAGTCCGGGCCTGGCATTCTGCCACTCATGTAGGGCTCAGCTGCTGAGTCCATGTCTCTCCCACCATCACTGCCCAGCTCCGGATTTGTCCCTGCACAGCTGGGGGACCATGGAGAAAGGTCCCCCATCACTCAGCAAAACTGACAGGCAGAAGTAAGTGATGAGCATGGTGGGGCCAGGGTCAGAGGTGCCAGGACCACCAGCAGGGAGGGCTTCCCCCACCTGGCTGGGCACCCCGAATTAGAATGGCCTAGAATGATTTAAAGTGGGGTTGGTTCTCATTAGAGTAAGGCCACCCTGCCTGTCCCACCTTAGAAAGGGAAACATCACACCTGCTTCTGTCCTCCCTGGGGCATTTGCCATGTGTGTTCCTAGAGGCATCAGCATCAGTAACACAGGACCACACACAGAATGGTGGCTTCACCTGGCCTGTCCAGCAGCCACCGCCTGAAATCTACATGCACCAAGCCATGGTGACCTGCGCCCTGGCTCAGTGCAGTAACCAAAAGCCCCTTTTGCCAGGCTTGTCAGCCAGCAGATGGCACCTCCTTTCTCTCAGGATTCCCAAATGGGATGAGGGGAAGCCCCTTGGCAGGGTAGAACCTGCCTGAGATGGGTTCAAGCATGCTCAAGAGCTTAAGTTCTTTTCTCAGGAAAATTAAGAAAATCACCCTGCATTGCCCAGAGAGGTTGCCCAGTGTGGATGGGCACAGGGGACTCCTTCATCCCTGAGTGTTTCCATCTGCCTCCTTCCTTGAGAGTGACAGCCACATGCAAAGTAAGAGGGGCATGGGTCATGAAGGCCCACCAACTCAGCTTTGCCACTGACTAGCCGTGCACTCCCAGGCAAGTTAATCAAGCTCTGTTTGAGTCTGTTTCCTCATTCATGTAGTGGAGTTTATTGAAATGCCTAACTTGCAAGCATGTTGTGGACATACGTGCGAGTGTTTGTAAAATGCCTCGCATGCTTGACACACAATAGTTGCTCAATGGTCCACCAGCAGGTGACTGTTAGTAACTGTCCTCACAGCTACCTGTGTTTCTAGTGGAGGACCGTTCCCACCGTGCCACTGTCAAGGCCTTGGTGATTTGAAGAGCAAGGCACTTGAGGAGGGAGGGTACATGAGCTACCCATGCCATTCCATCAGACAGGCCCATGGGAGAGCAGGGGACAGGTGGGTCCTTTTACATTTAATCCAGATAGGAGAACTGGCAACTCTTCTTTTGTAAATTCAAAAACTTTAAAATTTTTCTAAAGCACTGGTAGTTGCCAATTATATTAGTCTATTTTCACATTACTGTAAAGAAATACCTGAGACTGGGTAATTTCTAGTGAAAAGAAGTTCAATTGACTCACAGTTCCACATGGCTGGGGAAGCCTCAGGAAACTTACAATCACGGTGGAAAGGGAAGCAGACAAGTCTTACGTGGCAGCAGACAAGAGACAGCGAGTGTGTATGAACACCTACAAAACCATCGGATCTCATGAAAACTCACTCCCTATCACAAGAACAGCATGGGGAAAACCACCCACAGAATCCAATCACCTCCCACCGGTTTCTGCCCTTAACATATGGGGATTATAGGGATTACAATTCAAGGTGAGATTTGGGTGCAGACCCAGAGCCAAACCATATCACCAATACAGGATAGAGTAAGGTGTCTGAGCCTACTAGTGGTTCTGGTGACGTTCTGGTGACATTCTGTGGGAATTTATTTCAGATGACATGACTGCTGGGTACATCCCCTATCCCCACTGTTTACCAGGCAGAGCCTGAGTGTTTATACCACTGTACATAAGATAGGGGGCTGTTGCAAGAAAAAAATCCGTTATGTTTATTTCGATCAAATTTTCTTATTTTTTAAACAGGTTCAGTTTTAAGTATTCATGAATGTACCATTTATTAATTCTTCAACCAGTGAACCTCTCTTTTTTGATTAATTCACTTTTCATCTATCCCTTGACTTTTTAAAAAAATTGGGGTATTGTTTTATGTTTGTGATATAGCTTCCTATTTTAAAAGGGTCAAATAAAAAGAATATTTTAAAACCATATAAAATGCCCTTCAGCCCCTGAGAGAGATCAGGAAGCTTACCAAGGACCTACAAGTAACACAGACCCCAGGAATGGGTCAGCCACAGGCTCCTGCCCGTCCTCACTGCAGAAGGGTGAGAAAGAGAGGAATGGCCTCTTCCTTCCCATGCTGCTCTGACCTACCTCTGTTGTGGAGGAACCATAACGGGTTCCATAGCCTGGTTTTTCCATTTCATCTGCCCCACCTTGTTCCACAGAGTTGAATAGAGGGTGATAAGAAACAGAGAATTTTAAAAGTGTTTTGAAGTTATTCTGTGTTAAGTGTGGATTTTCCCACCATCCCCTGCAAGCGTTTCTCAGACATCCCAGACAGCACTCTCTCTCCCCAGTTTTAGACATCATTGAGGAAGAAGATGCCACAGAATTCTTTGCATTCCCTTTTAAAATCATTTCTTTTGCTTTGCTCAGTGGAGAAGGAGCACCAGGGCAACAACCTTCCAGGAGTCACCCGATGAAGTCAGGCAGGCCTTTGGTTTCTCCCATCCTGCTGAACCCAAGCCAGGATCCCTTACCTTTCCACCTGTCTCTTGGGTTCCTGACCCTTGTCCTCAGCAAGTCTCCCCCAACCCCACCCCAGGCCTCTAATTCCACACATATACATCCTTTATGAACTTGAGCACCGTCTATTCAAAGGTGACCTTCAGGCTCCTTGAGAGCATGACTCATCCCTGGGGCCTCCACTTCTTGCCTGCTAAGGTTGCTTGGTGAGCTGTATTCAACAAAACACCATTTTTCATGAGCAGGGATGAAAAATGCCTGTATGTCACACCAAAGGGATCCGTTTGCATCAATGGAGGCTAGAAATAGTGCTCCACTTTAGTTCTGTTGGAAGTTCGAATTCCCCTAACAGAGGAATCCAGGTTCCTCCCATACTGGAGAGGGGAAGCATTGAATTTCTCCAAACCCAGGGATGGGCCCAGCAACTGAAGAAGAGTAAGGAGTAGACATCATAGCTGGGACTTTTTTTTTCCTGATTTTTTTTCTTTTGAGATATAATTATATATGGTAAAATGAACAGATCTGAAGTATATGGCTCAATGAATTTGACAAGTGTATGCACCCGTGTAACGCATACCCCCTCACCCTAGAAGGCTCCTGCATGTCCCTTTCCAATCAATTTCATCCTTCTCCCCCACAGGCAACTGTGGTTGATTTCTTTCTCCCATAATAGCCTGGATTTTGATTTGGCAGACTTGAGATCTGTAACTTTGGTCTTAGTTCATCTGAGCAGATGAGCAAAAAAATCTCATCAGAAGCTCAGATGTCTTTACTCTCTTAGCATTGAAAAAGGTCCTCCCTGAGCCACTAGTGCTTGGCTCTGCTGTCCCCCAGTATGCTCCAATCTGACCCCCAGGGCTACTCTCTGAGCCACAGCCCTCCTCCCAGCCAAAGAAAGAGTTTAGCATCAGTCTCCCAGGTAAGTAAGTGGCAAAAGCTCTTGGTAACCCAGATAGTGCATGCTTTGTTGATTAATATGTGGAAGTGCAATGCACAGAGCCACAGCATGTCAAGCAGCATGTTGATTTTTCTCACTGCACAAAAGGCGGCCATTCCTTTTGTGTGTTTCCTTTCAGAAACAAAGGATTTCATGACCACCTTCTTCCAGGCTCCTAGCCATCAGGATGGCCACAGAGCTGAAATGATTAATCAGAGTGGAGGGTGGGAATTGAATGCGTGGGTGTTAGTGAACCCAGCACTGAGCCCATGGTCCATGAAATTGAAGGATCCCAAAATCTATTGGATTACACTTTGCCAAATGTCTCAAAGGTGAAAAGCACTTTGTCGGTATGCAAAGCTTTGATGTCTCTGGAATGTACCTTCTGCAGCTCAGTTCTTAATCACTGTATATTTTTTCACTTGGACAAAGGCTGCCTGCTAATAGCATTTTCAACCATCCTCAGCTGCTTCGCTCAGCTACGCCAAGGCCTCGGGCTGAGCTGGCTGCAGTTTCCTGGCACCATGATCCATTCCCAACTGACCAGCACTGAGGAACATTACACATTCACACCCTGAAAAAAAACTGCTTCCTCTGTAACTATGCAAATGCCAGACACGGGCAGGCAGAATTACCATTCCCCTTCCGAAGTGGTTCCTTCAGGATCATCCAAACTGGAGGCAGGGATGAGCGTCAAGAGAGGGGCGTAGTGCCCTGGAGGGCACAGGCAGGAGCTCCCCTCTCTCTGGGCAGAGCGGGCTCCTCAGGAGTGTCCTGCAAGCCTAGAGGGGCATGCACTTTGGGGCAGCTCATCTCTGAACACAGGTAGCCTCTGCTATCAGATTTCACTTTGATCACTGAAAACTACAGGAGCCTCAGCTCTTCAGAAGGGAAGCAGCTGCAGAGCAAGTGTGATTGCAGTATTTCTTCCCCAAAGCCCCGGGCCAGGCATCTAGCCATGCCTGCATCCTGCATGATTAACCGCCTTCCAGCCTGAGCCTGCCCTCACTCACCCGGGAGGGCGCTGGGCAGCGGGTAGATTGCAGCTGGGCTGAGCTGCTTCTCCAGCAGACCTGAACCCTCATGACCTCCATCTTTAGCAGCAGAGCTGGCATTTGGTAAATGCGCGAAAGCAGGAGTGGGGAGAGGGAGACAAAAATGCCAAGCAGCACTGCCTAGGTTGCTGAGAGGTTGGGAACAATCCCAAGGGTGGCCCCTAAGCTGGTCAGCTGCACCATCCTACCCTGAAATCCTGGGAAATAAAAGCAGTTGGGGGAAGCGAAGGAGCGGGCAGTGACAGACTGGCCACAGGTCCTTGGAGTCAGAGCTGTGAGGCTGCGCTCCAGGATTTAGGCAGGAAAAGATTAATTAGCGCCTTCAAGCCCAGCCCAGCCCAGCCCATTCTGTAGAACGGGGAAGGGTTGAGGGTGAGGAAGCCTCAGGGCCAAATTCACCTAAAACAAATAGACACATAATCCTCCAGAAATAGAATCTCCAACCTCCCTCAACCCACAGTCCCCTCTCCAGCCAAAATAACCTTGCTAATAAGAATGAAGCTGCAGTGTGGGTTTGGGCAACTGGTAAACCTCACCTCCTTTGTCTCTGGGCTTTGAACGTACACATTGGCAACAGACTCTTATTCAGAAGCTTGAGTGATTTTTTTCCCCCATTCACCAGCTAAATGAGAGCCCCCAATACTGTGGATAGCAAACTCAGAACATATATATTTGGGTACACAATGTGTGATTTGTGGCCCTGGTGGAGGAGGGATAGGAGGAGGAGGAGGAGCCGATATTAGTGTATGGTGGTTATCACAGCAATAAGTGGCACCTAAGAGGAAAACAAACTTCCTTTGTGCCTTTCATGGGGTAGGGATGGACCTGGGTAACAGGGGGTAGGGGAGGTTTGTAAGAGCTCACACAAGGAGTCCCCTAGACTCAGCAGCCCCGTGTTTCCCCAGAGAGGATGCCCCACACCCTCATGCTTCCTGCCTTCAGGCCTGCACTGGGAAGACACACTCCCAAGTGACAAATGCCTCATACTCTATGTAAGAAAGGGCACTCGAGAGTCACAGCTGGGTGTGTGCCACAGAACCCGGGGCTGGGGCAGCCCTTGACGGTCACCCTCTGCCTTCTAAGAGCTATTGCTATACCTAACCTGGTCTAGACAAAGGAGTAGCCATTCTGTCTTAGTGATTTTTCAAAGTCTGACACCATAACGCGCTCGGATTTTTACAAAATCTGATTAAAAACTCCTTAGCCGAGTATAAATGTATCCTGCTGCAGGCTAAGTTGAGTGTATTTGAAGATTCAGATAAGGTTGCTGATGGGAAAATTTTTGTAGACGTGTGTGTGTGTGTGTGTGTGTGTGTGTTTTTTAAGATGGGGAGAAAAAAATGAAAAGTTTTGTCTCACTAGTGAAAATGGGGAGTGAAAGAAATGGGGAGAAAAAAGGTCAAGGAGAGGTAGGGAAAGGCAGACTTTCTGACAGCTCCTGAGGGCAATTTCATTTCTGGAGAAACTCCCGTCTAGAGCACCAGAATTCTCAAAGTCAGGCTGGCCATGCCCCTTCATGGAGATCTAAGCCAGATGCCACATTGTCCTGTATCCAGCAAATCCACAGCCCGTGTTGTTCGTTTATTAGATAAACCCGTTATCCATCAATTCATCAATCAGCAGGTTTATTGAGGACCCCACCAGGCCTCACAAACCCGATCAATTTTTTTAATTACATCTAGCTTATACGCAGCCAAGCCCAGTGAACAAGATGAGCCCTCACACCCCACTTGGAAATGAACATGAGGAATCGCTGGCCCCTGCAATCTCACAGCCAAATACTGCAGCCCATGCTGACGAGCTCTCACGTGCTGCCCTTCACAGATGGCAGTGGTGTCGCTGACCCGCTGTCAATAATAGGATGGGTTTGGAGTGCTTTCCCAGACACAGTGATCAATCTGCCTAGGTCCAGCCACACTCTCCTCTAAAACCCTGTGCAATGACATGGATTTCTAAAGAGGGTGAGCTGGAGAACGGGCACACACTATGTAAGGGCAATAAGCAAAGCGACGGACCCTCACTCATCCCCCTCACCCTCCTCCTGGTGCCCAGTCACAACTCCCCTCCTAGATCAGGGGCTTCTCCACCACCTCTCAGGGCACATGGACAATGGGACTCTCCTGGCACCTCTATGGCTGATGCACCAGGCCTCATGATCCAGTTCATTATTTTAGTTTTTAAGAAGAACTGCCACATGGATATAGTTGGAGGGCTTGTAGGCTTTCCTGGTATGGGGTCATCAAACTCTGCCTCTAGGTGCCACAGACGGGAAGCCAAGAACATAGGAGGCAGCAGGAGTGCACTGCCCTGGGACCTACAGTGGCTCTGAGCCCCAGCAAATGCCCCCCACTTTCACAGTCGCAGAACTGGTCATCAAGAGGACTCAAGGTCTTTGTGTCTACCCTGCACTCCAAACAGGACTGTGCCTTCTTAAGACTAGTTAATTCATTAGCTTCTAATCAGCCAGATCCTTAGCCACCCTCTATTTGAATCAAGCCCCTGTCCCTGACCTCAGTATGCCCCAGTCCACCTTTTCCTCCTCCACGTGAACAAAATCAATTTCAGGGCAGCCCACCAGCATTAAAAATTGCTCTACCTGAAGGTTTAAATACCTGGTGTTTGGTAAGTAAAATTCCCACACCCCAAAAAGAGTCCTAGCAACACACCCTCATAAGGGGACCCTCCAGGACTCCCTGAACCTTCCCTGGAGCCCTGGTTTCTCCAGCTGTCCCAAGTTAAGGCTCCCATATACCTAGAGATCAAATATCAAGGTGGTCAGTCGGGTTGGTTGGTCGTTTGGCCTCCATGGCTCATGCAACAATTAATTCACCTGTCTGGCTCTCTGTCTCTGTCCCTGTGTGTGTGTGTGCGCGCGCGCCTGTGCGTGCCTCTCTGTCGCTGTCTCCCTGCAGGGAAAGTCGCTGGCGGGCAAGCGCCTCACGGGCCTGATGCAGTCCTCCTGACCGTTCCCACCGCAGGTCCAGGGCCCGGGCCCGCGGACCCCACGGGCAGGCGGCGGCGCTCCACATCCGCAGACAGAGTTTCCTTACGGGGAGACTTGGTCACTGTGAAGGAGAAAGAGTGAGGGCAATGAAGGGCGATGGTGGGGAGACTCGGTGGGTGAACGGGGAGACCAGAAAGAAAGAATCCACAGAGCCTGGGCTGGGCCCAGCGGAGGCTCCTGTTTACAGCCCTCTCTTCTTTGTACAGTTGTATTCCAACACTCCACTCGCTAAGAGGCCCTGATCCCAGCTCATTCAGGGGAGAACACGTCGTGGGGTTCCTGTCACGACTACCACTTGAGATTCTATTATTATCCTCACTCCCCTGCTATCTGTGGGGTCACACCTTCTGGCAAATTCAAGAGGAATGAGTGGACCAAGAGCACATCCAGTATTTTCATCACCTCCCTGGCACCTCCCATAGTTACAGCCACTACATCCCCAACGCCGCCTGTCATCCCTCACGTCTCTGTGGCCACCCGGGTGTCACCGCCAGCACCAGGCACCGCTTTCACGTAAAATGTCCAAATCACGTCTTCGGCAAGAAAGCAACCTCATGGATTGCCCCACCTCAAGTTCTTTCCACCCTCTTTGAGATCAGCGTTCGGAGAGGTCCCCGCCAGCCTGGTGGCTGCCCTCAGGTCCCATCACATGTCTCAAGGGTCCAGCGTTCGCGGAAGCACTGGTGAAGATGACAGAGCTTGTTTCACAGCTGCGGGAATTCTGCTGACCATCTTTTAGAAAATTATTTCATAATTTATTCTGGTTTGCCCCCTTGCTCCTTGATTTATTCCCTCATGTTTTACTCAAAATAAAACATGGCCATGAACTCAGGGGCCATTGGGCTTCTCCCCTCTGGCAGCCCCAGGTGGGAGCTGGGAGGGTCCCCAGCCCAAGAGGTGGCTGGACTGCAGGGCTGGCAGCCCCCACGTGGTAGCATCCTGACAGGCATGGTAAGGCGCTTGCTGGGTCAGGTCTCCTGTGTGTGTGAAGCTGGAGCAGAGTATGCTGCGAAGGGACCAGGCCAGGCCACAGGGTTCTCCTCCCAGTCTTTATCTGAAGGCCCAGCCAAAGCGCCCCTCTAAACCAGTCGCCTAGGGGAAGTGCAAAAATCTGCAAAAGATCCACCTGTATTCCCTCTGTGTGTGTGTCAAAAATGACCGTTTGCCAACCTGGCTGTGAGGTAATGTATGTAAAGCACCGAGTCAGGTGCCTGATACGTAGTAGGTGCTTAGCAAACGGTAGCTAATACTATCATCATTGTCATTGTTATTGTGACACCCATGAGCCCACAGACAGAGCTGTACTAAGTAACCTGTTTTTGAATCCAGACATTCACTCCCCCACTTGCTATGACTATCCTCCTTTGATCTATTTTTGGCCATAGGTAAAAAAATCTCTCGTGGGAGCATATAAACAAAAAACATAGAAGCAATAAAGCGATCGCTGGTATTTCTTTTCTCATGTAGCCAAATTCACCAGCCGGTGACTGAAGGCTCAGATGCTTGCTTATTTGCAGACCCGGCCTCCTGGGTGCTCCCCAATGACCCATCCTTCCACCCCACCACCTCCGAGTCCTGTCTATGTCTGCTTCCACACAGCCCTGTCCCCAGGGCACCAGCCTTCTGTCCCTCACAGCAGTGCCGCCACAGGCATTAGGAGTCTTCCTTATGTTGTATCCTTGTGAGTTCTTGACTGCCATGCCCCAGTTTCCCTCTCTCGGAGGCACAGTGGAAACTGGAGAGATGACAGATGTGGAGTCCTCAGTGTCTCCAGATGTGGCAATTCTTGCTGGACACCTGCACATGCTCAGCACAGAGGCTGGTACTTTGGAGGCAGTAACCACTTGATGAGTGCATGAATGACATGAAGCCCCATTATGGGGTCTTTTGACAGGCCCCTTTCATCCCCTTTCTCTTTGTATAAACCTCCTGTTTCAGAACAAAATTGTAGTCTAAGTTCATTTGCAGCCTTGCCCAAGGATCCCCAGGCTGTGCTGACCCCCAGGAATAGGGCAAAGGGCATTCCCAAACAGCAGGCACCTCAGTGCCCTCAGTTATCCTGGGCAAGGGGCCTGGCTGCCCCCTGCTTCTCCCCACGGTGCAGGGGCATTCTAAGCTAGGCTGCAGACAGGGCAGGGTTGGCTTCTCGGCCATTCCTTCTGTGCCCCCTTCTTCTGACTGGTGTCTCCCTGGAGATCCCCCGAGGATCTGCCCAGAGCCAGGTGGTCTCTGGCCCTGAGATAGAGCTGGCTGCAGGCTTACAAGCACTTCTGGGGACATCCAGAGGGGAAGGGCAGTAAGCACAACGGAGGTAAGGGACTTCAGATGGACTCAAACCCAGAGCAATAACCCTCTCACACCACCCTGCACTAAGGCACCCATGTTCCCCAGTAGATCAAGCCAGAGGCTTGCAAGAAGGGAGTGGAATGAGGCTGCCTATCCAAAGTCCATCTACCACACAGACCTTGGTCATGTAAGTACATTTGGAAGATCTGTTCTTGGCCCGTTCCCCACTGGCCTAGTCTACACAGCCAAAAATTCAGACTAGATTAGATGTTTGCAGGCAATTCTGTAGCAAAGCAGGTTCCCCTACCCTGTCCTGCCCGCTAGAAGCTGCCTTAGCCTCCCTGAATGGGTGTGGTCTCTGGGCCTAGGACTCCTCCCTAAGAGGAAAAGCGCTCTCCAGCCACATCTTAGCAGCCCCACAGCCACAGCATCAGGGCAGCTGCAGCAAGTGACCAACCACCCACCGGGTTAGATACACAAGGCACCAGGCACTGGCATCTGACTAAAATAACCTTTCCCTACATGGGAAGAAGAAAGCTTGTAGGTTGGCACATATAAATGTCCAGCCACAACCAGATGGCCTGACCTAAGCAGCAGGAACTCTCTTGGGAGGAGCCTCCTGCCCTTCCAGAAAGTGATGTGTCAGCTTTGTTCTCCTGGGAAGGTGTTGCTATACCCCAGGAACAAAGCAAGGCCCAACTACCAGTGCAGTCAGCCGGGCCTGCGCTCCAGGCTCACCGCCGCTGAGTGGTCAGGTACCGGGCCGGCACCCTGGGAGGGACCTCTTGTGACTCTGAGTTGCAGCTTGGACTAGCTGAACACATGGGGACATGCTCCAGGGGCTTCTTCCCTGGCAGGATTCCTGGGATGTTCTAACTACCTCACCAACAGGATGCTAAGCCGGGAGCCTGCCACCCTACTGGCTCCCTTGGTGATTATGGAAGGTGATGTTTTTCCTAAAATGCATCCCTCCTGTTCTGTTCCAAATACATGAGCTTCAAAAACCGCCACCAGGAAAGCCTTCCCAGAAGAGGGAAAGGATTGAGGGCTCTCTTCCTTTGGGCCCTGCAAAATGTATTGGAGGGAGGTGTTGCTGCAAGGTCCAGGAGCTGGGAAGCTCTGGGCTCGGGGGGAGATAATGCACCACCAGCCTCGAAAAGGAGCTGCCCAAGTTGAATATGTAGCAAAGACCATGGGATAAGTTGAATAGTGGCCAAATGAATCACTAATAACTCACCATGGGACCCTCTGAAGAGAGGCCTGTGCTCGTGTAACCATAGCAACAGCAGATGCCAGCAACCTACTCATTAGTACCACCCAGTGATAAGGCATCCCCTGGGCTAGACCCAGGGGCCATAAAGTAGCAAAGTAGCAAATGTAGCAATAAGGGGCCCGGGTCTATGTGGCGACAGGGTCCAAATGACCAGGCCTCGGCCCTCTCCCCAGCCCCGATGAGGGCTCAGAGCCAGCTGCTGTCAGCTGTCTGGGGAGGGAAGGCCCTGCTCCACACCGGGGACCCCTGTTCTATACTCTAAGCCCACTCACCGCATGATCACGGACACGTCGGAATGGCCTCCTCTTAGTGCATGTGGTTCTCATTAGTTTATTTTTCTGGAATTTGGGGATTGGACCCCAGAACCAAACATGCTGGTACAGTCTAAAAATAAATGACTTGAACCCACTTCAATCCAGCTAACTCTGTGTGGCTCCTTGGTTTGGGGGTTTGTTGGGCAGGGTGTGCCTCTAGAAAAATCGAACACCCCTCCGCACACCCCATCCTTCCCCATTGTCTCACACATACACACACACACACGTCTGTTTCCTTCTCACTCCCAACCAGGCTGCCTAGCAGCACAGAAAAGCCAGAGCTCTGGGGCATTGGACTCATTCTGTTAGGTAGGGACAGTCACCAGAAGGCCAAAGTCCCTGACTCTGCCAGGGTCTCCTTGACTGGGGGGTTCTCCAGGCCCCACTGTCTGTACTCAGGTGCAGAACCCTGTGGCTGCTCTGACACCCTCTTGAATAAGATCCCAGGGTCGAAGTCTGCTGCATACAGACGGTGCTTCTTACACGGAGTCTGTTTCCTGAGTGACAGACAGTTGCATTTCCCACTAACACCAAAGCAGCCGGACTCTGAGAGCCTGAGCGTCAGGCTGACAAGAGGAGGACGAGCGCAAGGTAAAAAGGCGGTGCTACTGTACTGCAATCCCTCTATGAATGACAAGGCCAACACCTAGCTGCATACTTCAGTGGCAGAAATTTTGATCCTAAAGGTAGAAATGATTTCAGAGGCATGAGAATGGGATCCCAGTCACAGCTACAAGGGAACCAACTTGTCTCTCAACCCCTGGGCCACCTGCTTGTGTAGGATTTTCTGCCCCACAGAGTCAAGATCAAGGTCACCTCTGCCTCAGGTCCCTAACATGTCCCACCTCACGTCCTGGCCCACCCCCAAAAAAGCCATGCTTTCCTGTCCTCTTTGACCATGGCCACCACCTCCAGGGAACCCAGAGCTACGCCTGCCTTCTCAGCTGGACTATCTGGCTTAGTTCCAGAATGTTTGCTTATCAGGCTGTTGCTGTGCATGCACACTACCCAACTGACCGCCAAGAGGAGAGCTCTGCTTTCAGGTCCAGAATCAAGGTGGAGATTTGGGGCTACCAGTTATAACACAAAAAGCTGTGCCCACCCAAGAATGAGAGCCGTCCTGACAGCTGTCTCTCTCCCTACACCCTTCTGGGGACTTGTGGCATAGCAGGCATGAAGCTGTCATTTCCTTTGCTGCTAGCCTCCAATTGTCCATTGATCCCAGCCTCCGAGGAACCACCGGGGCCTCTGATGAGTGTCTCTGGTCCTAGAACCTTTCCTGGGATGTGGCAGCCTCCAAAGCCAAGTAGTTCTCTGAGACGCGTATCCCCTCCTGGGCCCACAGAGCTCTGCCCAGCAGGCTCTCCCTCCGCCACCCTTCCTTTGCAGAAACACCCATAGGAACCCCTGGCCCCCATTGTGGGACTTCCGACACCAGTAGCTGGGCCCCTTTTCCTGTACCCAGCCCTTCAGCACCCACAGTAGGGGTTACTGGATCTGCACCAGACCCCATACACAGAGGGGCATGGCCCCTTGTCCAAAAAGAGGCTGCGGGATCTGGCTAATTTTAAAGGGGCCTGTGTTGTGGGGTGTAGCCACGTGAGCTCCATCTGTCACAGAGCTCTCTGGTACGCTCTTGCTCACTTACGGCGTGGGCTCAGTTCTCCTCAGAGGCCGGAGGTGTCCTGGCCAGGTCTGGCTTATTTCAGCAACAAAATAAAGAAACACCCCTGAGTGCAGAGCCCCAGAGCCACCCTCATTCTGAGCCTTAGTGTCCTCATTTGTGAAACAAGAATGAGTTTCAAAATCTTTGGGTGGCTGTGAATTAATCCAGAGGGCTTAGCCGGGGCCTGTCACATGGTAAATGTTCACAGAATGGGTGCTGGTGTTAGCTGGCGCCATGTCTGAGACAGGCATTGAAAGGCAGTGAAGGCCGGTATGTCTGCAAATCCCTGCCAGATAGACAACATCCCCAGCAGCCTAGACCCTGAGAGCCGCCCTTCCCGCCAGCCTTGAGGCTGTGGGCTTTGTTTGCCTGTGTGGGCAGCGGCCTCTCTCTGCCTCTCACAAGTCCCTGGCTCCCTTCTTCCCAGCGAGGGCCTGGTTCCCTGTGTGTTACTTGGGTGGCCTCAATCAATAGCCCTGCGTTATGCCTGAGAAACAGCCGAGTGGCGGGCCAGGGGCCTCCTCCCCAGACCCCGCATGGAAAATGGAAACAGTACAGATTCCCACTGGCCATCTAGATTCCCGTTTGTCCGATGGGCCTCATGGCTACTTCCATGAGATTTGGACTCTGAGCTGTTGTTCCAAAATACTCCATTACAGGTCAGTAACTCTGCCTTCTGACCTAGGACAAGGACCTGCCTCCATTCTCTGAGAACACCTGGCGTCCAAGGGAACACATGGACCTCCACGGGAAGGGCAGCCTCGTTCCTACAGTTTCCAACCAAGAAAATAAAGCCTGGTTCTTCTCTTTCTCCCATTACATCACAGGATGGCTTTGGGTCAGGAAGGGGCAGGAGGGATCAGGGAGGGGACATTTAAAACATGAGACAAGTCCCTGGATATCTCTTCCTGTGGCCTTGCCTGTGATCACACCCTCAGTAGAGAACAGTGAATATTAACACAGGGAGGAACCTGTGAGATTCTCTGGTTCTCTGGTGTGTGTGTGTGTGTGTGTGTGTGTGTGTGTGTGTGTGTGTGTGTCTTTTAGTTTATTAAGCTATAATTTACCTACATTAAAATTCACTGTTTTATATTACAACACTGTTATCAGTTTTGACAAACATATTCAATGATATAACCACCACTGAAAATCAAAATAGGGAATAATTTCATACCCCAAAATGTTCCTGTGCCCCTTTATAGTTAATTCCATCCCCCTACCCCTCTGTTCCCGGAAGCTGCTGGTTTGTTTTCTCACCCTGTAGTTCTGCCTTTCTTAGAAAGCCACATACAGGCCAGGCACGGTGCCTCACACCTGTAATCGCCGCATTTTGAGAGGCTGAGGTGGCTGGGTCACCTGAGGTCAGGAGTTTGAGACCAGCCTGGCCAACATGGTGAAACCCCATCTCTACTAAAAATACAAAAATTAGCTGGGCGTGATGGCAAGCACCTGTAATCCCAGCTACCCGGGAGGCTGAGGCACAAGAATCACTTGAACCCAGGAGGCGGAGGTTGCAGTGAACCGAGATCACACAATTGCTGGCAGGCAACAGAGTGAGACTGTCAAAAAGGAAGGAAGGGAGGGAGGGAGGGAGGGAATGAACGAACAAGGAGTTATACACTACGTGACCTTAGCCTGTCTTCCCTCACTTAGCTCAGTGCACACTGTTGCACATCTAGGTAGCACGTTCCTCAGCCTTTTGTTTTATCCATAAAGAAACTGAGGCCCTCAGTGGGAAGAGCAGAGAGAGTTGGAGGAGCAGGGCTTAGCATCTAGGGCATGACTACCACCCAGCCCCTCAGGTTGATGGCCCATACTTCTTCACTAAAAAGTCACCTTTTTAACCCCTCAAAATATGTGAGCCCCTGTTTGAGAAAGCATATGATCACAGAACCTGCACATTGAAGAGAACGCATGCTTTCTTCTAACAGAAGCTACTTAAGAGTCAGTCCTCTGTATCCAGTTTCCATGGATTCAACAACCATGGATGAAAAATATTTTTAAAAATTAAAAAATAACAATAGTAAAAATACAAATTAAAAAACAATATAGCATTAAAATGATTTATACAGCATTTACATTATATTTAGTATTATAAGTAAGCTAGAGAGACTATAAAGTATATAGGAGGATGTGCTTTGGTTACAGACAAATACTACACCATTTTATAAAAGGGACTTGAGCCTCCTTGAATTTTGGTATCCATGGGAAGAGGGGGCAGTCCTGGAACTAACCCCCCAATGAATATTGAGGGACAACTGTACCTGGAAACAAAGGGAAGTAATGGTACTTATCAGAGTGTGAAATGGAATTATAAAGGGGCACAAAGGGGTAATGGAATTATTCTCCATCTTGATTTTTGGTGGTGGTTACAGCATAGCATAAGCAATAGTGAATATCAGAGTGAGGCATTATCTATTAAGTTAGCAGGCAGTGCTTGACCGGCTCCTACCAATAACTCTGGAGTTCTCCCATGCCTTCTCCAAATAGATTAACACAGATTTAGCAAAGTGATAAAAGCTAACTGTAAACACAGTTTACAGTTTCTGCTGGAACAGAACCCAGGGACATGGGGATCCAGGTTAGAGTGAGACAGCCATGAAAGCCAGGTCAACTGGAGGAGATGACCCAGGGGTCTCCTCAGTGAGAGATCTAAAAATTCACAAATTCCAAATAATTGGAGTTTTGCTAAGCAGCATTATGAACTCATGAATTTAAATATATTTAATATATTCTGATCCATTGCATTTATTGTCTTTATTGACATCCAAAGTGTCCCATCTTTGGCCAGTGAGAACCTGAGTCTTTAGACATGACCTTGATAATCTTTGGGAATTTCATTGCTATCTGGTATGACAGCATAATCCAGACCTGTCTTGTACAGTTCCTCTCCCATACCTAAGTTTCAAGTAAGTGAAAGTCTATGAATGCTTAGCTATAAAATTAGAGGGTCCTGTGATGGACTTTTCCTATGTAAACTGAATCCCCCATGCCTCCAGATTATTAGAATTGAAAATTCCTTTAACAATCAACCAACCCAGAGCCTTCATTCTACATAACAGGAAACAGAGGCCCAGAAACATCAAGTGACTTACATAAGGTTATACAGGCTTATGGCAGGGCAAGGATTAAAGACTAGGGTCCCTGACTCCTGGTCTCATGCTTACCATGGCCTTTCCTCTCCTTATATGTCCTCAGCCCATCAAGTCAGATCTTCTACTGAAGCCACACCCAGCCTTGCTGTGTGTGCTGAAAGGTGGACACAAAAAGTAGAAATATCCTGATTTCAAAACTCATGACAAGGCTACAGTAATCAAGACAGGACAGTGTAATACTAGTAAAAGGAGAGACATATAGATAGATGGAATCGAATTGAGAGTCTAGAAATAAACTCATGCATTTATAGCCAACTGATTTTTAACAAGAGTGCCAAAACAA